CCAGATTTCTCCACGTTGCGGAGCTGCATGCGCCCCCGGGCCTCAGCCGTGCGCGCCCTCACACTGCACCGCCAGCTGCGTGGACGCGCTGAGCTGACCAGCCTTGCACGTGAACTTGGCCTGGTTGTCCGACGGCCCTGTGACCAGCACCAGCTCTCGGGAGAAAGTGCTCCCAGATTTCTCCACGTTGCCGAGCTGCATGCGCCGCGGCTCCTGCGGCAGCCGCGACTCAGTCACGGTGCGCGAGTCCTATGGGCCGGGAGTGACTGGGGGCCGCAGGCAGCCCTGCCGCTTCCACCAACCCCCAATTCCCACACCCTGCCCACTGGGTTGGTGCCGCCAGCCCAGACAAAGCCTTTTGGTGATAAGGAAAAACACCCCCATCAGCGCCACCCCCCTAGGGCAAAGCAGTGGGGAGTGGAACTGAGTGACCCCCGCCCTGGAGTCTCTCCCGCCTCCCCGGGTCCCTGTGCACGGCAGTTTTGGGGATCTGAATCTGCCTTCTGTACCACACCCAACCCCCGCTCCGCCTCTGCAGCCACCTGCAGGCCCTCAGCGCACTCCTCAAAATCTATTTCTGCTCTGTTTACCCAACACCATTTGCAGGAAACTCCCTTGAAATTCCCAGGCCTTTCCCAAAATGCCTCAGTTCCTTTTCTTAAAATTCCCACTGTCCCCAAAGATTTCCTTTGAAATTTTCCTTAATTCCAGTGTCTTTCCATAGATTACTTTCTTTTTTTTTTAATTGTTGCTGCTGCACAAATTAAACTTTCTATAGATTCTGAATCTTTCCCGATATTATATCTTATAATCCCAGTCTTTTAACAGATTCCTTTATATTGCCCAGATTCTCAGCACTTCCCCAGAATTCTATCCTATTAAAATGAAATTCCATTGTCATTTCTATAATTCCTAGTCTTCCCCCCAAAATTTTCAACTAGCTCCCTAACTTCCCAGGATTTTCCTAGAATTAGGCTTCTCTTTCATTTTAATGAAATTTCATTTTCTTACCTCCAAATCCCAAGAATTCGATTTAATACTAATGAGTTTTCGATAGTCTGTGGAATTACTAGCTTTTCTCCAAATTTTCTTTTTCTTTTTCTTTTTTTCTGGAATTCAAGTCTTTCCCTAAAATTCCTGACATTTCAGCTGAATTCTGAGATTTTTCACTAGAATTTTCCATAATTTTAACGAAATTACCTTTTCTCTAGAATACCTAATCTTGATTCAGAATTCCAATTTTTATTCTAGAATTCTCACTGTTTCCCGAGAATTTTCCTAGGATTCCATTTAATTCTCATGGCATTTGTGTCTTTCCTGATTCCCTGCCAAACCTCAGAATCTCTAGTACTTTTCAAGAAATTTAATCTTTTTCCAAGATTGCCCAAGATTCTGAAGGAGAGAAGGGGGCCTGGTCCTTCCCCCACATTCCTGGCCACCCCCATAGCCCTGGCGCGGCACCAACCTTGTACCATGTGAGGGAGGGCTCTGGGTTGCCCCCGATGGCCAAACACACCAGCCTCACCCGGGTCCCAGCCCGGAGCTTCTGCCCCTCTGGGGCACCCTCAATCCACAGTTTCTGGGCGGGATCTGAAAGGAGAGGCAGGAAGAGTGACTTTTTCTCTGGGCTGGGTCCTGAGGCCTGGGGGCATTGCTGGGCAAGGGCAGACACTCACATTTTACGTTCAGGGTGAGCGACTTCTTGAAGGTCTCCTTGGTGAAGGCTTCACTGAAGGCCTCACATGTGAGGGTCAGACCGTTGTCCTCCCGCCGCGCCAGTAATGTCAGGTTGGACATGGAGATGTAACCACCATGCAGTCCCTGGCAGGGAGTGAGCTTCAGATGTGGGGACTGCAGCACCCCCATCCATCGTGCTAGAGGCCTGAGTCCATCCCAGTCCCCAGCAGGGACACATGAGCCTTCTCTACCTCCCCCTCTGTTGGACCCATGGTCCTCAAGGAGAAAGCCCCCAGGCTGCTGGACCCATCCCCTTCCCTTCCAATCCACGAGTCATGCCCTCAGCACCCGCCATGCTCAGACCCAGGAGCCTGGCCCCCGCCTCACATCCATGATCGTCTCCTCCGTGGGCAGCAGCTGCCGCCAGCCCAGCCACCATCGTAGCAGGACCCGTGGGCGACTGGACTTGCTGACACAGGAGAGTGTCACGTTCTTGTTCTCAACCTGGGATGCAGATCCCAGGATAGTAATGGCACTAGGGGAAACTGCAGGGACAGAGAGGGAAGACACTAAGCTGGGCTGAATTTCTCACAGACCAGCCCAGACAGAACAACAGGACTGGAGACAGATGCTGAGATCTTTGGCATCCAGTGGGCATAATTTGGGGACACACATAGATGGTTCTCTGAGGCATAGACCAACAGGTGGGCAGCTGGCACCAGGACTCACAGGTGACCTGCAGCATGATGCTGCGCTCCTGGGTCCCTGCAGACACGCTGTTATGGGCCTCGCAGCTGAGCCGCGCTCCATGGTCTTCTGGCCTCACGGTCATCACCAGCACACTGCGGGCCACGGCCTGGGTGTGCTCTGTGCCCCACGCTGTGGACGCTGGCTGGCTATTCTGGAGACAGGGACAGGCCTGGGCCAGCTCAGGACCAGTTCCCGGCCTCCGCTCTCCCCACAGTTCCCATGCTCGCGTCTGCCCTCACCTTCAGCCACTGCAGTGTGGCTAAGGGATTCCCCCCTTGGGCCACGCATGGCAGCTCCAAGCTCTGTCCTGCCCGCACGTGCCCCTCATCCAAGCCTGGCCACTCGATGACAGGGGGTCCTGGAGGGACTGGGGGATATCAGTCACTCAATGGGCCTGGAGTAGCCCATCCACTCTTTCCAGGCCATACAACCTGCTTTTGAAACCCCATGTTTCTCTGAGTGCCTGAATTTCCATAATCCCTGTGATTCCCCTATACCCCCCAGTGCCTGCTCCCCATCCTCAGCGCCCTAGTTGGCCCAGTTCTCCACTTACACAGAACATTCACGGTGAATGAGGCCTTGATGGGGGCCTCCAGTGCTGGGCTCGACGCCTCACAGACCAGCAACTGCCCATTATCCGAGCTCTGGGGTGTCACCCTGGGATGAGAATTCACGGTTCTGGAGTCAGAGTCATCATCCGAAATTTGGGGAGTCAGGGAGAAGAGGTGGGGATGCCACCTCTGGTCTCCACACCTGGTCTAAGTCCCCATGGCGATCTCCTCTGGGATCCGGGGTTCCGTGGGAGAGGTTCTGGGAGTGAGCAGTGAGAACTGGAGCCTAGAGAGACCCACATCTGATCAAAACTTCGGTGCCTGGGACTCTGGAACTGAGGTTCCCATGAAGTTTTTTTGTTTGTTTGTTTGTCTTTTGAGACAGAATTTGGCTCTGTCGCCCAGGCTGGAGTGCAGTGGTGCGATCTCAGCTCACTGCAACTTCCACTTCTTGGGTTCAAACGATTCTCCTGCCTCAGCCCCCCGACGAGCTGGGGGTATAGGCATGTGCCACCACGCCAGGCTAATTTTTGTATTTTTAGTGAAAACAGGGTTTCACCATGTTGACCCAGTTGATCTTGAACCCCTGACCTCAGGTGATCCACCCACCTTAGCCTCCCAAAGTGTTGGGATTACAGGCATGAGCCACCGCCCCTGTTCCCTGCGAAGAAGCTTGGACAGTCAGCTCTGAGAGTTCCCCATGAAGAAGCATTGGATCGCAGAAGTTCATACCTAGCCCAAGCTTCATGCTTGCATCCCTGGGGTCTGTGGTTCCCATGGGGAAAATTAGGGGTCATGGTTGGGGGGTTTTTTCAGTTTCCACACCTGGCTGTGGCCTCCACAGTGAAGAGCTTCTGCTGGGAGCCCTCGTTCATGTTTGCAGAGATGTCGGATATTGTCTGTCCACCTTGGGGCAACAAGAGGGCTAGAGGGGTTCTGGGCTCCCTGCAAGATAGATTCTGGGGAGCATGGCCTGGAAGTCCTCAGGGTGGATGTGATGCCCCCTCCCTCCTGGTTCTAGAGGAAAAGGGCCTGGGGCACAGCTGCATCCCCTCCCGACTTTCTGGACTGCCTGAAGGCTGCAATCTTCAGTGCTGGGTCCTGGGCCTCCCCACTCCTCTCAACTCCTTGTTGGGTTGTACCATGCACCCCATCCCTCAGCTTCTCATGTCTGCACCAGCGCTACTGTCCATATCTCTATCTGGTCCTTAGCCTTGTGCTGGATGCCGCCTCCTCAATGTGCCCTCCCATCCACCGGATTCCACACTGGCCTCGGCATCTCCCCACACCTTCTCCTGGGTCCCCGTCCCAAGGATGACATCTTTTCTGGGGCCCTTAGGAGGGCACTGGTCAGGAACACACACTCTTCCCACTCCAGAGGCTTCATGCTGCCCCCTGCCACCCAGTTTACCCTCACTCACTCAGGAGAATGGTGATGTCAGGTGCTGGCTTCGCGTCCCCAGACAAACAGCTGACCACGTACTCTTGCCCAGCTACCCAGGTGACCACGGTGCCTGCCTCCGGGGTCAGGTAGAGCAGCTTGGGAGGAACTGGTGAGAAGGGTCTGGGGTAAGCTTCCAGCACTGAGAAGGATTTGAAGATTGGAGCTCGGTACCGAGGGTCTGGGAGAGGAGAGGCTGGGGGCTTGGACTCCTGGGTCCTGGGATAAGGGAGGGCTTGAAGCCCAGACTCGTGGGTCCTAGGGGTCTGTCACCCATACCCAGGACGGAGAGGATCACTCTGGGAGACACGAGCTCTGGCCCCATCTCGGAGCGGCCGACCTGGCACTCATACTCCGCGTCATCGCTGAGGTCACAGGCCTCGATGTGTAGGTGGAATTCACCTGCAGGGGGAGCCGGAGGTCAGGGTTGCAGCTTCAGCTGGTGGCTGAGGGTCTCAGGCTCTGATCCCTTACCTCTAGCAGGGTCCCCTTCCAGGCGGTACCTTGGGAAGCCTGGGATCCTGGGGTCGGGGCCCAGGAGCAGCCCATCTTTGGCCCATTGCACCGCACTGCCAGGGGTGCTGACCCCACACCGTAGCTCCACCGAGGCCCCCTCCACCACTGTCAGGTTTTCAGGCAGGGCCCAGAAGCCCCGGGGGACGGAGGCAGGAATCGCCAACTGCGCCAGGCCTGGGGACACAGCAGGGTGCAAGGAAAGGGCAGAGGGTTTGTCTAGGGAAGGTAAGTGGGAAATGGGGGCCACTTGGCGCTGGGTACAAGGCTGGGATCCCACTCACCTTCAGTCAGCAGCCCCAGGAGCAGGAGAGGAGCCTTGAGCATCGTCCCCAGGGCCATCACAGGTACCCCTACTGTTACCCCCGCAGTGCCCGCAGCCAGCCACCTGCGTCTGTCTGGCTCTCTCTGGGTCCCTCTCTCTGTGTCTCTGTCATCTGCTTTTCTTTTTATCTCTCTTTCCATTACTCTCCTCCCTTTCTGTTTTCCTCTCCTCCTGTCAGTGTCTCTCTATCTCTGTCTTGCTCTCAGTCTCAATCTCTGAGTCTCTTTCTCTGTCCCTTTAAAATAATTTTTTTTCTTTTTTTTTTTTTAGAGATAAGGTCTCACTATGTTGGCCAGGTTGATCTCAGACTCTTTCCCTCAAGCCATCCTCCCGCCTTGGCCTCCCCAAGTGTTGAGATTACAGGCATGAGCCACTGCCCTCAGCCTGTCTCTTTATCTTTCCATCTTTCTCTCCTTGTCTAAGGCATTCTCTCTCCTTTTGTCTTCGTCTCGGCCTCTCTTTCTCTCTCTCTCTCTCTCAGTCTCTATCTTCTCTCTTGCCACCCCTCACCCCTGCTCCTTGTCTCACTACTCACGGCCTCTCAAGAAGGACCTGCAGCCCAGAGTCTAGCAGGCCAGGAGCCCAGGACAGCAATGAGGCTGATGCAGGCACTGGCAGAGTCGGCCCTGCTCTCCGACCCAACTTGAGCTCATCCTCACAGTGCAACCTCCCCCAGGTGCCCTCCAGAGCCCCCAGCTCTGGCCTCTGCCCAGCAGGCTCCTCCCAGCCAGCTGGGCCGGAGCATAAAATCCCCTGTCAGCACATGCCAGGCGTGTTCCTCGGTGCCTCCCCAGCCTCCATGACCCCAGGGCCTGGCTTAGGCTGGGAAGACGGGAGAAGTCAGACCTAGGTGGTCTCCCAGCTCAGCAGGGGAGCAGCCAGCTGGGCCCCCAGCTCTTCCCTGCCCTGATACATGACCTTGGGAAGTCTCTTTCTTTCTTTTTTTTTTCTCGAGGTAGTCTTGCTCTGTTGCTCAGGCTGGAGTGCAGTGGCATGATCTCGGCTCACTGCAGCCTCCACCTCCCATGGCCTGAACCTCCCAAGTTCAAGCAATTCTTCTGCCTCTGTCTCCCAAGTAGATGGTACTACAGTCATACACCACCAGACCTGGCTAATTTTTGTATTTTTACTAGAGACGGGGTTTCATCATGTTGGCCAGGCTGGTCTTGAACTCCTGACCTCAGGAGTTTGCCTCAGCTTCCCAAAATGCTGGGATTACAGGCATGAGCCACCGCACCTGGCCTCCCTTCCTTTCTTGAGTAGACATTAGCGACTAAATGATGTCAGGGATCTCTGCTGGGGAGTATGCAAGAGTGAGTGTGAGAGACTGGGAGAGCGTAGGAGAGAGGGAAGATATCCGTGTGTGTACGTGGGTGTGAGTGGGGAAGGTTAGAGTGAACTGTGATCTGTAATAAGCACATGGAGAGCGTGTGTGTGTGTGACAGTGTCTTACGTGGGAGTGCACAGGGTGTGGGCAGAAGTAAAAGGCAGAGTCCAATTCTGCCGGCCCTCAGTATGGGTCTGGCAGTGTGAGCCCAGAGTGGGCACCCTTTGGCAAGGACTGCGTGAGCTTTCTTCTGTCTCTTTTTCTTGCCGTCTCCCCCATCTCTCCTTTCCTTCTCCATGTCTCTCCCTCTCCCTCCCTCTATCCATCTTGATTTATCTTTCTTTCTTTTGAGATGGAATCTTGCTCTGTTGCCCAGGCTGGAGGGCAGTGGCATGATCTTGGTTCATTGCAGCCTCAACTTCCTGGGCTCAAGTGATCCTCCTGCCTCAGCCTCCTGAGTAGCTGGGACTACAGGTACGCACCACCACTCCAGCTAATTTTTAAAAATTTGTTTGTAGAGACAGGGTCTTGCTCTATTGCCCAGGCTGGACTGCAGTGGTGTGGTCATGGCTCACTGCAGCCTCAAACCACCTGGACTCAAGTGTTCTTTCTGCCTCAGCCTCCTGAGTAGCTGGGACTACAGGCCCACATCACCATTCTGGCTTTTTTTTTTTTTTTTT